GAAATGAAAAGTCACTCCAATCAAAGAAGAAGAGTGAAAAGAAATTCTTCAGTAATGGGCGCAGTGAAACAATGGTAAAGAGAAAGATAGAAGATATTTATGAAAAATAAAATAGAAAGTGTACCTCGGTGACTCTTGCAGCAGCGAGGCGAGGCTTTCCAGACGAAAGAAGATGCTCAATCATCACGCGGCCCACAGTGCGACTATCCCATTTGCTTTCTTCGAGCTCTGCATTTCTCTCTCGAGCAAATTCCCAAGCCTCTTCGAGAAAATCGTTTTCAATTCTCCACTTCAAAGTATCCTCTGCACAGTATGGAGTGGCCTTAAACGAGGGGAGGTATAGTGCAAAAGCAGTTAACATAATAGCTTTGCTGGCACAATGCCACTCAAGCACCCTAATGTTGACCACCATAATTAATACACTCTAAAATGACCTTTAATTCTTCAATTTTTATGACTATAACACTACGAAAGAACAGTGACATAGGTCAGCCGCCCCTAGTATCCACCGAGTGGGTCGCATTTGTGGTTTTTATGAGAGGGAGCCGTATTTGGCATTCTTGGTGGAAGTGGTAGTTCAAAAGCGGAAGTTCTATGTGAGTTGGAGGTTCGGGGGGAGATGATCGTTAGTGTCGGAATCGGAAAAGACGATCTTCTAGAACCGTTCAAAGTTTTACCAGCGTTACAGTTGAACCTGAGTGACATATGGTATGAGAACCTACCATAACCAAATCTGAGGAACTAATGAGGAAATACGACTCAAATGTCGGCACTCCAGCCATTGAAAATTGGCAAGGATGAGAGTACGTCTTCGATGAAAAACTGTAATAGTAAGTATTTTGCAGCATTGTCAAAAACACTGTGGTATGAGCATTACCTGAGACGGTCTTCCGCCAAGAGGCGATACGTCGAATATGTCTCTGGAGCTAGCAAACAGAGCTGAACCACAGGGGATGGACCATTTTGAGAAACAGAGGACTCCTCGCCGTCTGTCGACTGAAAATATATTGAAAAGCTGCTAGAATGCATAACGAAATGCATGCACTGCCTCCGCGCAATGTTCCTCCATATTCTCGCTAGTAGGGTATAAGTTTGAGTCCCCCGAACGACCTGGAACCTTATTCTTTTGGGCTTCTCGGCGTTAAACTTGTTAGGAAGCATAAAAGCTAACTGAAGTGGAGCTTAACTGATCTCTACAAATTCACGAGCGCAGACAAAAATGAAACCCGTCATTCTGAGTGAAATAAAACCGCACGTGAAGCCAAGGACGAAGGACCAAAAGTGGAGGTATAGGGCCAACATCTTATGTTAACAGAACCCTGCTGAGTGAGCAAAGAAGGTATAACCTTTTTTGGACTGACGCCAAATGGATATCGTAGTGTTGAAGCAAGGTTACCCACAAAATTTAAGAAAAAAACTACCACAAAGTTCTGTACTATTATTGTATCAAAGGAATGTTTTGATATAGGTTATAATTCATAATATTACCGCATTATCGATAAATGACTGAGCGTCATCGTTTGCGTAGTCTGTCTTCAAGCCAAAGACCACGATTTCTTTCCAAACACCTGTTGAGTCAGATAGGTAAGAGACTCCAGAGCAGAACATATCGACGTGCCATGTGAAATGAATTTCTGCTTGCCTAACAAGCTGAAAAATCATCTGCTATATAGCTTGATAAACCTTGCTTTCA